TGACTCTGTGTATTCCTTCCATCTTCTTTTGATGTCTCCTGTATGGTTTAATATTTTGCCCTTAGAATCCTTCAATATTGCAACTAAAAAAAAAAAAAAAAAACCTAATTGCCATCAAGTCACTTCCAACTCATAGTGACCTCCATTGGGTTTCTGAGGTGGTAAATCTTTATGGAAATAGATTGCCCCATCTTCCTTTGGTAGAGTGGCTGGTGGGTTTGAACTGTATATTTCCTTATAATACTTTACTTTGTCTTCTCAAGCCACCCCTTGAAATCTTCTGTTCAGCTCTTTTATTTCAACATTTCTTCCTATTGCTTTAGCTACTCTCCATTTAAGAGCAAGTTTCAAAGTCTCTTCTGACATCCATTTTGGTCTTTTCTTCCTTTCCTATCTTTTTAATGACCTTTTGCTTTCTTCAATATGGTGTTTTTAGTGTCTTCCCTCAACTTATCTGGTCTTTGGTCACTACAGTTCACTGAGTCAAATCTATTCTTCAGATGATCTTTCAATTCAGGTGGGATGTAATCAAGGTTATATTTTGGCTTTTGCATACTTGTTTTCATTTTCTTCAGCTTCAACTTCCACTTTCATATGAGCAGTTAATGGTCTGTTCCATAGTCATCTCCTGGCTTTGTTCTGATTGATAATATTGAGCTTCATCATTTCTTTCCACATATGTAGTTAATTTAATTCCTGTGTATTCCATCTGGCAAGGTCTACATTTATAGTTGCTGCTTATGTTACTGAAAAAAGTTACCTGCAATCATGAAGTTATTGGTCTTGCAAAATTCTATCATGTGATCTCCAGCATCATTTCTATAACCAAGGACATATTTTCTAACTACTAATGATTCTTCTTTGTTTCCAACTTTCACATTCCAATCACCAGTAATGATCAATCCATCTTGATTGCATGTTTGGTCAATGTCAGACTGCAGAAGTTGACAAAATCTTCATTTTCTTCATCTTTGGCTTCAGTGATTGGTGCATAAATTTGACTAGTAGTAGTATTAATAGATATTCCTTGGTAGCATATGGATATTATCCTATCACTAACAACATTGTACTTCAGGATAGATTTTGAAATGTTCTTTTTGATGATGAATGTGATGCCATTCCTCTTCAACTTGTCATTCCTGGCATAGTAGACCATGATTTTCAGATTCAAAATGGCCAATACTGGCCTATTTTAGCTCTCTATTACCTAGGATAAGGAGTTCTAGTGGTGCGGTGAGTAGGGCATTGGCTGTTAACCACAAAGTCAGTGGTTCAAACTCACCAGCTGCTCCACAGGAGGAAGATGAGGGAACTACTTCCATAAAGATTTACAGCCTTGGAAGCCCTATGGGGGTTTCTATGAGTCAGAATTGACTTGATAGCAATGGGATTTAATGCCTAGGATATTGATATTCAAGTGTTCCATTGCATTTTTGATTACTTCCAACTTTCCTAGATTCATACTTTGAACATTTCATGTTCGATTAATAATGAATGTTTGCATCTGTTTCTTATTTTTAGTTGTGCCCCATCAGTTAATGAAGACCCCAAAATCTTTACTCCATCTCCATCATTAAGGTTGACCCTACTTTGAGGAGATAGCCCTTCCCCAGTCATAATTTGAGTGCTTTCCAACCTGAGTGGCTCATCTTCTCGCACCATGTCAGACATTTTAACTGGTATTTTTAAGGGGCCCTAATACATGGCATAAATATCTATAAACTGTTCTTACAGTAGTAATTCAAAAGGATCTAATAAATAAAACTGACAACCCACTAAAGCACACCAATGTGATAAATTTTCACTTACAAATGATTAACTATATCCACATCATTAAAAAAAAAAAAAAAAAACATAAACTAAGTGTCTTTCATTTCATCACAAGCCTATTACGGCACTTAATTTCCTCTAATTCTATTCTATGCTTCATTTTTTAAAAAGCAGATCTGTTTATTTAACTTTTCAAAGATTCAAACTGGTGATAGAATGGATACTTTATCCTTTTAAAAAGATTTTTTAAAGAACAACCTCTACTAATTATTCCAGGTAGGTGTTCTACATTTATCATACCTTATGGCCTAAAATTACTAAGAGCAATGCCCATTCAGCAGAAAATAATATTATTAGAAGTCTTTTGTACATAGGTAAGATGTGTCCTGCAGAAAAATCCCAAAGGACTTTGCAAATTTTCATTTGGTCAGGTGAGCCAAGAGTAACTGCTACTTTACACAAGTTTTAAAAATCTTTCTTGCCCTTTGGAGTCAAACCTAGTTTATGAGTTATGCTTAAGTATCCTAAGGAAACTAATAAGTGTAATTTTTAATTTCTCTGGTGTAGGTTCAGACCTACTATTTTTATTAATCCTAATAACTCTCCTTAAAGGCAGGTAAGAGGCAACCTCTTTAACAATGCTGCCTAAGTAAGAAAAGGAGTGTCTGTGACCTGCCAAGGGACAGACTAGCAGGCAACTGGCATCTGGTAACTAACTAGATCCACCTATTGGTCCTAACACACTAGCCACTGAAACTATTTTTTAATAGGCTTGTTTATTTTACATTTTTCTGTTATTGAAATAGAAGTGGAAATCTGCTTTCCAAGACCAGCCTATTAGCATCTCCTTCCCTGGCTCAGCTGACCTTCAGGCAGTGCAGGCGGTGGTGCAGCTGCCTGCACCAAGTTAAAAATGGACTGTCAAGCTGGCTTTAATTTCTGTTGCTCCGCCTCCGAATGTCCTCCCACTGATGTGTTTATCACATTCTCCTTAACCCTTCTGTTGTTTTTCTTGCTAAGAGTTTTTAACCTAGACTGCTGAAACTGCCTTTCAGGATCTTAACCTGCAGATAGATGTTTGCTATGTTTAATCTGAAAGGACCAGAGCCAAGACTAAAAACTTCTATTATCAGGGTCAGACAACCCAATAAGTAAACTCACGTGAAATTGTTCGCTGCAGATTAGTAAGTAAGCACAAGTAAGCCCGTGCTTATCGTGCTTACTGGGGACTTCTTCCTTGTCATGAATTGTACATTTGAAAAGAGGTTTTGATTCTGTAGGAAGGTGCTGTGAGGTTGGGACAGAGATAGTGGTGAAAAAAAAAAAAAAAAATGTTCACTACTGATTATTAAATAAACACAAGTAAACTCATGTTTACCTTACTTATTGGGTAATCCAACACTGTTTTACTTGTAGAAAGTCTTTCTCCTCCAGGCATCCCCATATTTTCATCTCCCCCTGGTTTGTGGGAATGCCTACTCAGAACAGATCATTTCCTGCTGGCACACCAAAGAGGGAAAAGAGTGGTTTAGTAACTTAGGAAGAAAAAAGTGTTTGGTTTCTTGCTTATGAGTTGTGCCAGCATGTTGACTCTTTCCACAGCTCCTGTGTCTCTCTGAGCTCTTGTTCAGAACTACACATCAAGCCTCAGAGGGATTATCTCTACTCAGGAGCTCTGGTGCTATAGTGCTAAGGCATTTGACTGCTAACCAGGAGGCTGGTGGTTCAAACCCATCAGTCACTCCCGGGAGGGAAGACTGGCCATCTACTTCTGCCTCAGAAACTCAAAGAGGGTCACTATGACTTGGAATCCACTGGATGGCAGTGATTTTGGTTTTTTTGAGGGGGGCATATAAAACCCTTTATGTTCATTCCTCAAGCCCTTTCAAGACCACCTGAAGTTTCTCCCCCTAATAGGGGTCTAAGAAAGTCTGCCTCTGGGAATGACAATTGCTTCCAACAAGCGGGCTGAGTGGAAGGAACAACTAAGATCCTACTAATGGTTTTAATTTCTTGGCAGACTCCCCTTATCCAAGCTCCTACTGCACTGGGCCAGGTCTAATTAGAAGAATGTCAGGCTCACCCTTCCTGGGGAGAAAATTCATTAGTCACAGATGTTGGGGAGCCCGGAATGCAGCGAGTGATTAAGACCCTTCCTAAAATTTAGGCGACCAACTAGACCTCACTGCCAGTGGGAGAGGAGGCTACAGAAACCTTGGGGCTGGGGCGCAGAGTGGAGTCCACTTGGTAAAAGGACAGAACAAAAGGCTTAAGTGATAGACATTGAACATCAAAAGAAATTTAAGCGAAGTGCCGAGAATGACTCAGCAAAGTCCGCAGGTCACAGCAATAAACAAAGGGTTTAAAGCTTCGCTCTGCCCGGGGTTGCATCTTAACAAGGGTACCAGCAACGTGTATGAGCGCGCAGGGGGCAGGGTCGAACCAAAGAATCCAAGCTGGTGGCCACCGATAAATGGTCAGTCTTTGACGAGTTGTGCACCCACAATTGTGGTCACGGTGACCTGTGGTCCACCCGAGGAAAAGCAGGTGTCAAGCCTATCCCAGGGTCATCCTCTACTCGCAGCAGCTCTCTTTGGGCGTCTCAAACTATCCCGGGTGAAACGCGACCAGGCCTCGGCCGGGGCGGGGCGGAGCGGGGCGGAGGGCCGGGGCGGGCAGTGCAGGTGGGCGGGTCGGGCAGGATGTGGAAGCTGGACCTATAAATTGTCAGCTGCCCCCAGCGGCTATGCTGCTCAAGTGGCGCTGGTGGTGAGTGGGCGGGGGGCGAGCTGGGTACCAAGAGCTGTTTGAGTCTGTTTGACACTTAGCCCGAGGGGGAAGGGGCTACAAAGGGAGGTGCCAGCCTCTGTTCTCCAGTACTGCCAGCGAGAGCGTCGGCCCCAGCACCTGCCCTTGTATAGTCCGGCAGGTGAGAGACGCCCCGGCCTCGGGGGGGGGACCGGCGCGGCGCTCCTGCCGCTGGCGGCCGGGGAGCGAACTCCACCGGACTAGTTGCTTCCGAAGTTTTGCTAACTTTGAAGTCGTTTCAGGTTGTGGCTGCAGTTGGCGTCTCTGTTTCCCAGGCTTTGTAAAGTTTAGTTGCAGAGGCTGGTTCCGCCGCTTTTGGAAAATGAATGCCTGGGCTAGTTCTGTCCGGTGACGCTGAGCATTTTAGGAGCCTCTGCACGTCTTGTCTGCTTTCACAAATCTCTTCTTTTCGCCTTCGCCTTCTCTTTCCAGCTCCCAGAAGAGGCCGTTCCACTCCGCGAGGGAAACAGAGCCGTTGACCATGGTTGCAACTGGCAGTTTGAGCAGTAAGAACTCGGTCAGCATTTCCGAGTTGGTGGACCGTGGCTTCCACCCCGGAAGCCTGCTAAGTGGTGAGTTTCCAAGCTCCCAGCTCCTATCTCCCCCTTCCAAAGTTCGCATCCCATCCACAGATCGGGTCGGCGGGCGTGCAGCTTCACCCCCTTTCCTCGGTGTAGAAGATGCCACAAAATTCATCTGAGGAGACCCCTTTCCAAACTTTTTAGCATGATCTGCTCATGACAGTAGGAGCTCTCTGGTGGCGGTGTGATTTAAAGCATTTGGGCTGCTAACGAAAAGGTCAGCGGTTCGAACCCACCAGAATGATAAAGCAATCTGCTTCCTTAAAGATCTACAACCTTGGAAACCCTGTGAGGCAGTTCTCCTTTGTTCTATAGGGTGTCTAGGAGTCAGAATCCACTCAGTGGCAGTGGGTTTGATTTGGTGCGTCCATAATAGTGAGAAATAAAAGTGGCAAAAATGAAAATACCCAAGGGCTGCACCCTCATCGGCTGCTGGGATTAAAAGTTATATTGGTCCCCTACACTATATAGTTGTGAAATAATGATGACTTTTAAGTGTACAGTAATGTGTGTTTTAACAAATGTATTCACCCATATAACCACTACCAATCACTCTCCCAAAAAATTCTCATGTGCCTATTTGCCATAAATTCCCTACTTTTCCACTGATCTGCTTTTTGTCACTATAGTTTCTCTTCCAGAGTTTCATATAAATGGAATGATATAGTATATATTGTTTCATATCTGGCATCTTTTCCACAGGAATGTTTTTTGAGATAAATCCATGTTGCCTGTATCAGTGTGCTCCTTTTTCCTGCTAAGTAGTATTCTATTTCTGCATGTACCTATTATTCTGTTTTTAATGAGAGAAGGAAACTTTTCAATGCCAGGGGTGCTGACAGATTGTCATATGACATAGTGCCGTGTTGTCATTTGCAATTTTAAAAGCTGATTTCTAAGTTAATGCACTGTTTTACCACTAAAGATCTATGCAACAACCATAGATAAATTGCTTGGACTATGTGGGCCTTCCTAATTTAGAAAGCGATATGGTTGATTATCTAATTCTGTAGCTCTAAAATTTCCACCAAGATGAAATATGGAGCCCTTATAATTTGGAATGCATGTGTTTCATTTAGTTATAAAAATGGTGATCTAAGTGACCCCCATGATGTGGATAGAAGGACACTTTCCTCATGAAGGTGAAGGAGGGAGGAGAGCTGGCAGGACATTTGCCTGCTGGGTAGACTGTGTGTGTGGTGTGGCATCCTGCCAAGTGGTAGGATTAATTTGGGTGGTAGGTGCCCAAATGCAGAGCTATCTTTTTTCCTTTGAGCAAATCTAATTTTGTTTTCCGAGGACTATTTTGTTTTGCTTGGCTAAGAAGAACTGCCCAGCCAATTATAAATATTCTTGTGAACCTCAAAGGTCTTTTCTTCTAACAACTCTTAATCAAAGAAACAGAAGCTAAAATCGGATATCCACACTTTCTAGTAAAGACTTTCAAAGACATGGATTTGATAGACATTTAGTAAACTAATTAAGCTCATGGTAAATGTAAGAACAGCAAAAAAATAGATGCTTTTCATAGTAAGGGAACACATTCAAAGAATTAGAAGACAACAGTCCCTTAGTCAAAAAAAGAAAAGAAAAGCTTTGAACCATTTTTTATTTCAGAAGTAATACATGTTCTCTATTAAACAAAATCAGAAAACCCCCATAAGCAAATGAGCAAGTAAGAAAGAAAATGAGTGGAAGAAGAATATTTTGAAGATGTTTTTACTGTCGGTGATGCACAAATCATGGAAAATATTCTATTAAACTCATATTGCTTTGAAGTATGTGAAAAACCTTTGAAAATGAAAATCACTAGTAATCTGTATACTTTGTAATAAACACAATTAGGTGTTTTACACATGGTCTTTAAGAGTGTATGTGTGTATACACATATAAATTCAAAGGAAAATAGGTATATTCTATCTAACTTTTAGTCTCAAATTAAATGACTTACTCTGTTATACACCTAGTTAACTGGCAAAGTCAGGTCAGTTGACTGCCAAGCAGATAATTAGAAACAGGTAGAGATGGTAGAGAGAAGTAATCAGTGTTGCTGTCTTGATGTGTGTGTGTTTTTTTTTTGTTTGTTTGTTTTTTTTTTCTGCTCTCGGATTTCAATTTTCTTTTTATCTTAAATTTCCATTTCTTACAGATGTCGACTACTGGGATTATGTTGTTCCTGAACCCAACCTCAATGAGGTGATATTTGAGGAGACAACTTGCCAGAGTTTGGTTAAAATGCTGGAAAACTGTCTGTCCAAATCAAAACAAACCAAACTGGGCTGCTCAAAGGTCCTGGTCCCTGCAAAACTGACCCAGAGAATTGCTCAAGATGTCCTCCGGCTTTCCTCCACTGAGCCCTGTGGCCTACGAGGTTGTGTTATGCATGTGAACTTGGAAATTGAAAATGTATGTAAAAAGCTGGATAGGATTGTGTGTGATTCTAGTGTGGTGCCTACTTTTGAGCTTACACTGGTGTTTAAGCAGGAAAACTGCTCATGGACTAGCTTCAGGGACTTTTTCTTTAGTAGAGCTCGCTTCTCATCTGGCCTCAAGAAAACTCTGATACTCAGCTCAGGATTCCGACTCGTTAAGAAAAAGCTTTACTCATTAATTGGAACAACAGTCATTGAAGAGTGCTAAAAATGAAAAAAGGCTTGTTTTATGATTGGGTAATAAAACTATGCAGCTGCTCAGTTAAAGTCATTTGTAGTTTTCCCAGCCTCTACAGGAAACCCCACATTTAATTCACCTTGCACTGGTGTTTCAAATTCATAGCAACCCCAGTTAAAAGGTTGATTTTGTGATTTTGAAAATGCCTGTATCCTGTATTCTACAGAATTGAATGGAACAAGGAAAGCAAAGAAACAATCCACTTTTGTTTTACATTTGACTTCACAACTTTTTCCAGATAATCTTGCTAATAGATATACCAGAATTTGCCTAGTTTAAATTTTAATAGGGTTTGTTTTCTTTAAGTTCTCAAAGTGATTCTTTCACAGAATTTTATTAAATAATGTTTAGCTGATAAAAACTTCCAGAAGCCCACACCACCAATTTCCTGTCCCTACTCAAATTTGAAGTGTTCTTATACAGCAAGGGAGAATTAAGTAGGCAACCTTAATGAAAATTTAACTCTAAGCAAGAGTGAATTAAAAATGTCACAGAGACAATGGAACTACTTCTCTGATTTTTTTGCATCCTCCTTACTCTTCTGTTTTGAAGAGATTGTAAAAGCTTGAACTGCCATCTTACTGACTACCAAAACCAAACCCATTGCTGTTGAGTCTACTCTGACTCATTTTGACCCTATTGGATGGGATGGAAGTTCCCCATAGGGTTTCCAAGGTTGTAAATCTTTTTGGAAGCAGACTGCTACATTTTTCTACCATAGAGCAGCTACTGGGTTTGAACTGCCAACCTTTAGGTTAGCTGCCAAGTACTTATCCACTGTGCCATCAGAGCTCCTAGTGCCTACAGTATTGTTTTAAATGATGTTGTAACATAATCTCAGTATTTCTAGTTCTCAAGCACTGAATGTTGTCTTTAAACTAGAAAAATAGAAAATGTTGAACTGATTTTTTTTTTTTTTTGCATGTAGTTGATTACTCTTCCATTGAATATATGGTGGATAAGGATGGGGAAGAGAAGTAAGTTCTCAGACCCAGTTCTTTTCAGATTGATTTGATAATCTAGATTCTTTTCAGTATCACATATTCTTAACTTCAGATGTATCATCTTACTGTGTCACTGTTACATCACCTCTGGACTTCTCTGGGAATGGAGATACCTCTCCTTCACTTGAGTCTTCAAAGAAGATAACTGCACACTACTACTTTTAATGGTTTCAAGATCTGGTTTATAGTACATACTGGAGAGTGAGAATCATGGTCTAGCTACCAGTGTACACACCTAGCTTGCTTCAACCTTGGATACTGTCCTTGAGAAAACAATAAAGGCCTTAGATTTTTGTTCCATACATCATTTTATTTTTTGTATAGTAATGAGAAAATGTAGGCTCCACTTGACAATATTCAATTCAGCAAGGCCTTCACATTCTTGCTGTATGTCATGGAAAAGGAGCTTATTCAGGCCTCCTGCCATAGTACTGTCACCACTTTACGTGAGGCTAGGGTTGTAGGGAAAGATGCCTTCAGCCTGGTGTTAACTCAAAAGTGGATATGAGCCTATTCCTCATCCCACAAATAATATAAAATGGGCAAGTATTCTAATTGAACTCTTCAAATGCTTAGATACCACAAAGACGAACTATTTAGGGATCTGGGCCAGAGTAAGTCAACTTTGTTTTGTGTGTCTGGTTTTTACTGCTTTAAATGTCACTGTGTTACTATAGCTGTTTTAGAGTCACCACCACTGTGGCTGAGGCTTCTCTGGCTATGAAACTGTTGTCGTTTTATCACTAACAGTTGTCTTTGACTCTTTTCTTTCATGCTTATAAAATGATGGCTTATGGAGACTCTTAAATTAATATTCCTGTTAAAGGAAATTCAAGTTTGTCTATTTTTGACAATAAAACATTATGTATTTTTAATTCATTTGTCCACTTTGTTTTCTTCTGAGTTTATACAATGATCACTCTAAAATTGACAGTAGTTTGGAGAAAATGACAAAACAATTATTTATCTCTTTTTTGATAAAGCCAATTTATGCTGATTATATTCCAGTTGTATTTATTGGATCCCTCATTTTCATAATGAAAATGTTACAAAAAAGAGGGAAACCCTCAATGAGATGGATTAACAAAATAGCCACAAAAATGGACTCAGCCATACCAAATGATCATGAAAATGACAAAGGAGGGGGCAACGTGTCATTCTGTTGCATATAACAAGATCACCTTGAGTCAGAGCCAACATGACAGCAACTAACAAAACATATGTTGGATGTGTTTATGTATCAAAAAAAATGTGATCTGCTTCAGAGTTTCTTAACTGTAATGATAATTTTTATAAGAAGAAATTAATAATTTATTTGGCAAACACCTTTAGAAAATCTTACCATGTGAAGGCTTTTTGTATAATTTTCCTAATGACCAAACACAGACTTAACAAATTATAAGATCAGGTACATTTTTATTTTTATCAGTATAGTTTATTTGAATAACATATTTTAATTCTATTGTTGTTAATTTTAATTTTAATTTTTTGCACCTATCTTTTCTTTCACCAAATTCATGGTCTTAAGCTCGTATTTCTCATACCGGTTAAGACATGTAAGTTTTGCTATCTGCTAGGCACTCTTCTAGGTGCTTTGTATAAATCCTCTCATTTAGTCCTTACAACAACCTTATGAAATGGGCACTACTATCATCTCCATTTTATAGATCAATGACCAGACCCACAGAGGTTAATTAACCTTCCCAAAGTCACTGAAGTTAATGGGAAAACCAGGGTTTAAAACAAGCCCACAGGCTGCACTCTTAACCCACCATACCATGGTGCCTCCAAATGTTCAAAGCAGCACAGAGCAACACAATACCCACATCACAGAAGACTGAAAAGGATGCCAGAAACATTTGTTCCTACATTTGGGGAAAATATAAATTCTTAATGTGTGTGGTGGTTATGTTTGTGTGTCAACTTGGCTGGGCCTGGTTGAGTGGCTGGACAGCTGGTGGTAGTTATTCCCCATGATGAGAGAAAGCAATCAGCTCCATGGTGGGATCTACCACAAGCACTTGAGTAGCTGCTTTGGGTATGTGGTATGCTTCCCATACATAAGCAGCAGCTTTGAGAATGGTGTCTAGCTTATGGCACACTTGGACCCTGCATGTAGCCATGTCGTTGTTCAGCAGCCTGCCATGCTCTGCCAACCTGGGACTTACAGTGGACTTAAATTAATGGCTTGTCATGTGGTTTGGTAACATCAGGACTGTGCCTCTTTATTTGTCAACCCTGGGTTTGTCAGCCTCAGCAGCTAGCAGCTGTCTGAGAGAAGAAATGCTTCTAGCTCCAGAGGGCCAGGAGCTGGAGGCAGAGCTGAAGCCCAAGGCTAAGGAGCTTTCACCCAGCCCCTAGAGCCTGGCACTTTGATCTTGGACTTAAAGTCTCCAAATTGTAAGAGAATAAACTCCTGTTTATTAAGGCCATCCCATTTGTAGCATATTCCTGTCAGAGTGGTACTAGGAAACTAGAACAATGTGGTTCTGGTTACCTAGAAGGAAAAATGATAAAAATATTGACAATTCACCATTCATTGGAGCAGGGCTGTACTTAGAAGTAAAAAAAAACTGTCCAGATATTAAAAGGACATGCATTTCAATTCGGGAGACTTCACTCCTCTCATGTGCAGTTGGCCTGGTTACCTTTCATGTACCTTCAGGGTCCACTTTCACAAAATACACATAATCAGTCTCCTTTCTATCTCAATGGAGAATAAATTGTTAGCTAGGGAATATGATACCTTCCTGAGGAGCAGGATGTCTAATCTTTCTGTCATTAATAGAAAGAGTCCCCAGGTGGTGCAAATGGTTAAAGTGTTCAGGTAGTAGCCAAAACATTGCAGGTTTGAATCTACTCACAGGGTCCTTGAAAGAAAGACCTGGCTATATACTTCCAAAAAATCAGCCATTGAAAACCTGATGGATTACAGCTCTGCTCTGACACACATGGGGTCAACATGAGTCTGAATTGACTTGATGGCATCTGGTTGGTTAATAGAAAGATGGTATTATTACATAGTAATGAATCCAATCTCCTGAATATGTTTCACCAGTGACAATCTATACAATCATGGGATTGGCCTCATGTAACACTGATGGCACTCCTATTTGCTAGTGCAGGAAATAGAAGTATAAAAACATAACATCTATTATACTCAATTCTCAATTATCTATATTATTAAAACAAGTAATAACCTTAGTAATTTAAAGTTGTTTGATAGAGCACTTGGCTTTGACATGTGTTTACGTTCCTCTTCAAGGAAGATAAGAAGCCCCGGTGGCACAAAGTTTAAGTGTCTGGCTGCTAACTGAAAGATGGAAAACTCGGTAGTTCGAACCCACCAGCTGCTCCACTGGAGAAAGCACGGAATCACAGCCTTTAAAACTCTATAGGGTTTTGTGATACTGCAGCACACATGAGGTCTCTGTGAGTCAGAACTGACATAATGGCAATGGGTTAGGGTTTTTTTGGGCTTTTTGGTTTAAGGAAGTTGTAGACTATGAGATTAGCACATGGACTCTAGATTGCCTAGAGTTCCAACACTGAACTTACTCTGTGACCTTGGGCAACTTATTTAAAACATTTCTATGTTTTGGGAAAAACAGTAGTACCTACCTCATAATATTTTAAGAATGATTAACTAAGAAAATGCATGTACAGCGTTTAAGACATTGGCATGTAGTAAGCACTTCCTGAAGTTTAGCTATGACAAAGGTTTTTTTATACAATTATTCTGATAGCACATTTACTCCTACTAGAGTTGTTCATGTGTCAAAATTATTCTATCTTATGAAGAGGATGTGGAACAAGGGATATCATAGTTGCTGTCAGATGGATCCTGGCTCAAAGCAAAGAATACCAGAAGGATGTTTACTTGTGTTTTATTGACTATAAAAAGGCATTTGATTGTGTAATCATAAAAAATTGTGGATTACATTAAGAATGGGAATTCCCAAACAC